TCACATGTGTTTATAACCAACTCCCGTCACATGTATATAACCAACTCCCGTCACATGTATATAACCAACTCCTGTGTCGTGTGTTATAACCAACTCCCGTCACATGTATATAACCAACTTTTGTCATGTTTATAACGAACTTGTCATATGTTTATAACCAACTCCTGCCACATGTATATAACCAACTTCTGTCATATGTTTATAACCAACTCCTGTGTCGTGTGTATATAATAACCAACTCCTGTCACATGTATATCACCAACCAACTGTGTCGTCGTTTTTAGCAACTCCCTGTCACATGTTTATAACCAACTCCTGTCATATGTATATAACCAACTCTTGTCAGGTTTATAACCAACTCCTGTCACATGTATATAACCAACTCCTGTCACATGTATATAACCAACTCCCATTACATGTATATAACCAACTCCCGCCACATGTATATAACCAACTCCTGTCACATGTATATATCCCACTCCTGACACATGTATATAACCAACTCCCGTCACATGTTTATAACCAACTCCCATCACGTTTATAACCCACTCCTGTCATATGTATATAACCAACTCTTGTCAGGTTTATAACCAACTCCTGTCACATGTTTATAACCAACCCCCGTCACATGTATATAACCAACTCCCATCTCATGTATATAACCAACTCCCGTCACATATTTATAACCAACCCCCGTCACATGTATATAACCAACTCCCGTCACATGTTTATAACCAACTCCCATCACGTTTATAACCCACTCCTGTCATATGTATATAACCAGCTCTTGTCAGGTTTATAACCAACTCCTGTCACATGTTTATAACCAACCCCCGTCACATGTATATAACCAACTCCCGTCACATGTATATAACCAACTCCCGTCACATGTATATAACCAACTCCCGTCACATGTATATAACCAACTCCCGTCACATGTATATAACCAACTCCTGTCACATGTATATAACCCACTCCTGACACATGTATATAACCAACTCCTGTCACATGTTTATAACCAACTCCTGTCACATGTATATAACCAACTCCCGTCACATGTATATAACCAACTCCTGTCACATGTATATAACCAACTCCCATTACATGTATATAACCAACGCCCGTCTCATGTATATAACCAACTCCTGTCACATGTATATAACCAACTCCCGTCAGATGTATATAACCAACTCCTGTCACATGTACATAACCAACTCCTGTCACATGTATATAACCAACTCCCGTCACATGTATACAACCAACTCCCGTAAAATGTATATGACCAACTCCTGTCACATGTATATAACCAACTCCCGTCACATGTGTATATGACCAACTCCTGTCACGTGTTTATAACCCACTCCTGTCACATGTATATAACAAAAACCGTCAGAGATGCTTATCAACAACTTACATCACATGTACATAGAACTAACTCGCGGCACATGTGTTTATAACAAAATCCGTCACATGTGCTTATATTATTACCAACTTACAACCTATGTGTATAGACCCAACTCCCGTCAAATGGGTATAGACACAACTCCCGTCATTTGTTTAAAGATGTACTGTGACAAGTATATATAAGCGAGACATTCAGGGTATTCTCGGACCCTTCTCTATCCACAAGACTGATGGTGAGTTGAGCTAAAGTCGACTTGAACACCACATAATATATATCATGCAGGAGGTGAGACCGTCGTGATGCAGGTTGAAGACGGTTACGTCATTCGTGAAACCAGGGCACGGGAATGGTGCTGGCAAAGCAAAAGACATTAACAGAGGATGCTGAATTCGAACCAAAATTTGTAGATTCCTGGTACGCTTAAGGGACGCAACTCTGTACATCGAACTGCGACCCCTTAGCGTTCTCAAACGCTCCCTATATAACATGCAATGATATGACGTCCAGACAGGTTATAGCTTCGTTACCACGGGCCCACTTTACCATAGTACTTTCTACAGTCAACTGTAAGCAGTGTTCTGGGACATCATCCAAAGGTCGACAGAGAATCACTTTAAGAATTCTATCTATTCAGGCTTGACATAGCTGTATTATTCAGAGTTGTGCACAAACACCGTAGCTTTCACGAACCACCAGGCTCCCATTGAGGTACGGTAGCATCCAGATACATTTTACTGAACAAAGAAGGACATCCACGACAGTATTTGCAACGTGCTTACTGACTTGATGTTACAAAAACATTCGTGCGTGTTGTAGACAAGCATATGCTGACGTCTACATGTAGCGTGTATATCGCTATATCTCGCGGCATGTGATAAACAAAGTTATAGCCCGGTAGCTCGGGTGGGTTCTCAACACAGGCACGCCCTAGGCAAGGAATTCTTTACAGAGATATATTACAGGTCATGCCCCACTGGGTTCAGCCTGGCAGGGTAACATAACGGCTTCTCCCGGGATGACCCACAAGACATACAACTAACGTTATGAAACGATAAGCCTCCGGTGTTGGTGGTAATGTTCAAGTGCACGGTTACAGGTGATACACGTTCTGATAATTATGCAAGTTCGTGATGTTAGTGGTGATAACTCTAATGTCATGTATGTCGGTGTAAGTCGGGCTCTGTTTCTCGGCTGTAGATTTGTCAGTTGTTTGGTTTCGTACTTAGGAAGAAACGTTGTGTAATCTCTGCTGTTGTAATACTGACGTGTGTGGGGATCGATGCCTCCCAGTCTGATCACACTGATATAGGTTGCTCCATCCAGTCGGTGAAGTGACGATATTCCTCCAGGCTGCAGGTGACCGTTCTTCACTCACTGGTGAAAGTCAGGAACATAAGCTGTATTGACGTGAGATATATTTATTATTTCTATATGCATATACTTTATCTATTTCTACCTGATTGAATTATTTATTTCTATAAGCTTTTGATGTTGGTTTCTTCTTTCTTATTGCTTATGCTGTTTCTTTATATAAATCATTGATCCGAACTAAAACATTAATGTTGAGAACACAGCCAAGACCAGTCAAGCCCATGATCAGGGATTCGAATAAAATGTGAATTTAATTACGTATTAAGACTTAAAGGATCAAAAATATGTTTTGTAATCTTTGTTAACGATGCAGTCAGCAGTAATCCAGATCTACAGCCGCGAATTGTACATGATATAGGCTGGACCAGACGATCCAGTGATTGCGTGAAATCATCAACAGTCCCTGAGCCTGCCCAACCGATACAATTTGGTCGCCTAGCACCACAAGCATACGTTGCTGGGGCGTGTTTTGGACCAATAGATTGTTCCTTCAACGCATATGGCAAAATATATCCTAGGATGTATGCTTCAGACCCATTTTAAGTACAGCTATGATGTTGATACCCACCTACAGCTGAATAACAATTATATATACTTAAAACATGACATGTGTGTTGCTTAAATTATATTTACATTGATTACTCACTACAACATCAGGTGCTTATAAGGTACTGAATTGATTAGTCATACAAAACCAATGATGTAATGCTGAAGCCACAGTTTTAAACTTTTCAGGCAAACTTCCAAAACTAAAAGTGCCATGGTTTGCCAGTTAGCTCATATCCCGTTTCTTGACATCCATCTGCCTGTGTAACTTTGACATTGATATCAATAAGTCATTCCCGATATCCTGTGCATGTTCGACCCTTGCAATAAGAGCTGCACTCTATTGACGTATAGCCGAGACATGAATATTTCATCACAGATATATTCCTGCATAACACCAGTAATTCGCTGCTAGACGCTCATGTTAGGCATGCTGGCAAACTCGTCAAGCATCCAGACTGTTTACGTTAGGTCGGTGTAAAGCGGATGCTTTGCTCATGTATGTGCTTACAAAAACCGCATGTAAGGCAATAATGTCTTTTGTGAGTTGTTCATGTCCTAATTCTCTAAACGATTGGACTGTGCATATTTCTTTGTTCGCATCTCACACTAGGAAGAACAAGATGTACAGGAACAGGAGGTTGATCAGATAAGTTAAATACTTTACTGATTGTAATTCCTGCACCAACCGTAGCATTAGGAATGTGAAGTACAATATTTCACTTTACACTCGTTTCTTGGACAGCTCTAATAAGGGGAGTTCAGCATATTCATCACGCCTCTGTTTTAACCATCTGATTTGTGGCGCAGTGTAACCTGATTGATATGTAATATGATCGGTATATAACGAGGAACACCTAATCATTGTCATATAAAATAAATTGCGGGTGATTTCCGTCTGAGGGACTCAATGTCATGCCGTCATCTCAATACCGATAACTGCCTATTGATTGTGACTTTCAGTGTATTTCTCCCTCCTATAGTGCCGCTCATATTGACTTTGTGTTATATGCAAATCGTGTAGGTTTATTAGACGATATGGTGACGGATTGTCGATATGGTGCGTTTATATGTATATATTCATGAACGGTTTTGATAATATATTGATATGAATGCAAAGTGTTACGTAATGCATTTGTATCTCCTGGTCTCTTATGCAATTGTTTGGGGCTATCCTTTAAGAGTGTTAGAAGCAGGATGTCTGCCCAGCGTACTGACACCTGTTGATGTTGGATCTGTCCCTCGGGCGTTAAATGCATGTTTATTATGATGCTGGTGGAACGTCATCCCGACATCTTCCTATATGGCGGTGACGCACATCAGAATCAGTCATGTATTGTTTCCTTTACACGCCACGCCCATCTTAGCCAAACCCACACCTGAATCACTCTTCAGAAATATTCCCCGTATGATTACAGACACACAATACACAGCACTTTCACGATAACATACCGTGAAGAACGGTCTATTCACTGAGGCCTGGGATGCAGCAGCGGCTGTCGCTGTCACCAGCCGACTGACATCACGCTTGAAAGCAAGTCGTATATATACCGGTTATTTATAGCGGATATTTCATCTACCAATAGCTCTGTATGAAAATCCAGTTGGTGAAGAATCCCATACTGGCTGTGTGCTGTTGTGTGGCGGGTAGACGGGGTAGCGCTGGGGTAAATAGCCCCTTTGTTGCAACACTGCTTAGTCTCCCGGTAGTTGGCCCAGCCACATGATCTCCAGTGAAAGATATTCAACATGTGACTGCGTGACGACAGTAGGTTAGCAATACTGTATTCTATGTGAATGTTAGTGTTTATACAACGGTATGGCGAATACAGCTTGTGAAGGTATTGACTAACTATGATTGAGGCTTTAACTTTCGGCCATAGAATGTCGTAACAAGCTCATGAGAAAATACACAACGATTCCTTACGACGTCATAAGAAAGATGAACCATTTGACAGCCGATCTGGTGAGTCGATCTGACATTATCCCGAGTCCTTGTTATTCAAAATGTTATTGTATACATGTATTTCACGTTAGCTTGTATATCTACATCCATGTTTATGTTTTGTGTCAGTGTCATTCAATTATGAAAATGTTAAATATATAGAGATTATTACACGAGCAAGTGTGTCATACGACGTATACGAAACGAGTGTGAAATTTTGTATTGTGAGAGCGAGGGCAATTCATAGTTTCGTATAAGTCATGTGACACACTTGTTCGAGTGTAATAGTGTCTTTATTATCCGTTTTACTCATGTACATTTGTGCACAGTAAAACACGGTAAGCAAGTATGACGGCCCTCTTCATCGACGTCACGTCGATAATTGTTTAATGACGTCACAGACGACGAAATACAGAAACAATGGTTGCTAGGCATAAATGTGCACATATGATATATGTGACACTGGTTCTGTTTCACCATATAGGTAATAAATAGAGAATACTAAACGATGTCCCGTGTAATACCATATTTATGAAACGAGTAAACGGTTTGGTATGTAACGAGCGAAAGCGAGTTAGATACCAAAGCCATTCACGAGTTTCATAAATATGGTATTACACGGGACATAGTTTAGTATTTTATTTATTACTCACCCAACATTAGCAAAATAATATCGAGCAAAGTACTTCTTTCCTAAGAATTCAACGAGTGTGATGACTCTCAACTTTCCGAGGAGTCAAAAGAAGGCCCAAATACTATTGTGGGGAGGAGAGGTATTTCCATTGTGACGTCATAAACTGTAAATCACTTTGACGTCATACGTACGGTATCACGCGATGTTATTACACAATGTGTAATAGCATTGTAAAATGATTAAACAGTGATATCTTCAACGGGTGAGTAATAAATAGAGAATACTAAACGATGTCCCGTGTAATACCATAGTTATGAAACGAGTGAATGGTTTGGTATCTAACGAGCAAAAGCGAGTTAAATACGAATACCATCCACGAGTTTCATAAATATGGTATTACAAGGGACATAGTTTAGTATTTTATTTATTACTCACTCAACATTAGCAAAATAATATCGAGCAAACGAGTGTAATGACTCTCAGCTTTCCGCGAGTCAAGCAAGGTCTAATACTGTTGTGACAGAAGTATTAGCATTGTGACGTCATAACTGTAAACCACTTTGACGTCATACGTAATTTAATCACAATGTGTAATAACGTAGTAAAGTTATTAAACAGTAAACAGTGATGTCTTCAAAGGGTGAGTACTAAATTTACATATTGAGTCCTATATTGGGTGAGTTATAGTGTAGACGTGCCCACTGTGATAACAGCTGGGCTGCATGTATAATATGCAATCTACGGATGGATAATGTTATGCGGTACGAGATTACAGTCAACAGCATTATCAAAAGGGTTTTTCAGCACCGTGTTTTCTGATATGTTTTGGGGTTATCTGAGGTACTCAATGCCCTGCACTTTCTCCATGTAAGTACAAGCTATCGACGTCTAGCTACACCATGACTATACAAGATCGGAAGGCGTCACCTGAAGAGATAGGGGATCTGAAAAAGTAAAAACACGTCTATTATTTTCTGAATTATTTAGAAATGATTAATTACGTCCTCATTCTATTACCCGAGATGTATTCACGCATGAGGGAACTGGCTGTGGCGACAAGTCGAAGCTTCTGAGTAGACTGTGTATTCACTACCATTCATACGTAATGAAACGAGCCATTTCCCTATATAGATCATTAAAATAATCTTGTGTAGCCGGTTCCAAATACCGTCACTAACGTACTGCTTAGAAAACCCAATATCAGCAGAACGTTGGGAAATACCTCCTCAGTTCAATGACTGACAAATTAGACAGCAACTTAATTCCTTGTTTAGACCTGACATTTCATTATCGTGAAGTTCTCGTCACTTGTTATCTGGCCGCGCCCAGCATACCCGGTTACCTCTGTCCATCGCGTGTAGAACACAGGCGTATGGGCTATATCAGCTGGTATCAGTACAAAGACGGTAGGTGGTTTCAGCGATGTTATCGGACAACCAGTTGTCATGTTTCTAGGATATGAAGCGGTGTAATTGTAGGGATTCAATACTGGTTTTGTCCTAAGGTCATGGAATTGGCGTCAATGTGACTCCAGTATGTAATTCAAGTCATGTAATTTCACAGTGGAAAACAGAAATATACATAACGATATGTTTTATACATGTATTGTAGTACCTGCTTGTATTGGCCTACATGATTGAGATACGGACATGGCCTCGACACGAAGGGACCGACGTTTTAATTTAAGGTAATCCAAATGATGAGGGATTTTTGTAGCTCAACTTCGTAGTCAAGTCAAATAATGTAACATGTACTGATTGAATGAGGACTGTGTACCAAGCACGTAACTTAGCCTCCCACCTCGTGTATTTTTCAGCGACCCCCTCAGTGGTCACAACACTGTTACTGTGGTACTTCATATTGATAACACAACCGTCCAAGATTCAATGTATTGTCAGTCTGGTGACATAATACACATACTTTACTCATTGACATATTTAGCAGGTTTATTTGCCGTGATTGTTGTGTATATTCCCTGTATTCAGTGTATACATGTATGTGTTGATCTTGTGTTAGACGTCAATGCCATGGGTAAGGTAAGTTGGCAATGGGACAGCCTAGCCGTGTTGACAAGTGTGGGGTAGTGGTATAGAGTCTGTTTTCCTCTGGTAGCCTCGACACGCTCTACTTCAGTCCGTCATATAACCTACCTCTGTCAGGGCACAATAACAACTTGTATTCTATTCCAATAAATGTAATGACGTCACAATACATGCTGAGTGATTCATAATGTATCCCACAGAAGGACTTTAGACCATTTCAAATCAGCATGTTTATATTGTTATATTCTGTAGAATAAATGTATGAAAGTTAGTTTTTTTTATTACGCTCGTTTACATTTATGAACATTATATGGTATATGTAACTATTTAAAGGCGCTGTCACGCCTGATACCCAAGCGGCATGTGCACTCCCAGATGTTCACGTCAGTTATGTACAGTACACCAGGGCTGCATCCGGATGTTCTCAAACAAAGGGAACATCTTTTAACCAGTACGAGGCGTGAGGATGTGGTTTTAAAAATGTTGTCACGAACGAACAGCTGGGTGTCGGGCGACCTACCCTAGGTAGTATAGATGGAGGACAATAGCAGTGATATACAAACGGATATGTAATTGTACAGATGAGCAGATGACGTAGTCCTGGTGCAGATAACTGCTACTTGCTGAAGTATGCTAGCATCGGAAGACTGTACCAGATAGACTGAGATTTGATGAGACGTGACGTGACATGATTTGACATTATAGGACATCACGAAACGTGACGGGACAAGATTTAATAATAATAATAGTATTATGTGTATTTATTCCGCGCTGGATTCCATACAAAAATGTATGCTCAAAGCGCTACATATAAAGGTGATTGGAGTGCTACAAGACATAAACATTTGTACATTAAATAGTTAAACTTTTGAGGATATGTTTGTTAATCACTGTAGTATCTTCTGAAGAGGAATGTTTTTAAGGCACATATGAATGAATCAAGGGATGTTGTTAGTCTGAGTTCGAGTGGCAGATGGTTCCATAGTGTTGGAGCTCCATAACTAAAGGAGCGGAAACTAAAGACTTCTAGTTTACGTCTTGGGATGACTAATAGATGTTGACCGGCTGATTGTAAGGCTCTCGATGGAACATGTTTGGTCACCAACTCATTGATGTAGTCGGGAGCAGTTTCATGATAGCACTGGTGGGCTAGACTCGGGATTTTATACTCCACTCTGGCTCTTATGGGCAAACAGTGTAAGGCTCGTAAAACTTGGGAGATATGTTCTCTCTTGGACACTTTTTTGACAATGCCAGCTGCTGAGTTTTGTACTGTTGTAGTTTTGAGATGAGTTTATCTGGTGATCCGTAGTAGGCGCTGTTGCAATAATCTCACTTCGATAGCACTAGGGATCTAACAAGTGCACGAGCACGACGCATGGCGTTATGGGACGTCATGAAAAGTGACGGGACAAGATTTGACGTTATTGGACGTCATGAATTAGACGGGACAAGATTTGACGTTATTGGACGTCATGAATTGTGACGGGACATGATTTGACGTTATGGAACGTCGTGAAACGTGACGGGACATGATTTGACGTTATTGGACGTCATGAATTGTGACGGGACAAGATTTGAAGTTATGGAACGTCATGCAACTTGAGGGGACATGATTTCACGTTACTAGACATGAGGGGAGACCATGAGACGTGACGGGACGTGATTTAACGTTATGGAACATAATCTGACGTGATGAAACGTGATGATCATGGTGTTACGGTGAGATGAACATACGTCACCATTTGCCTTATGCGTTGCTGTCCGCTGTGTGTGCTGCACCTGTAAAGTGTTTCAGGAGTACATTAACAATGTCGGTCTCGATGTTAGACATTATACTCCATGATGATGGAGTGGCTGCACATACTGACACACATACTCTTTTAGCTATGGTTTTCCTCCTTTTTTGTAAATGTCTGCAATAACGACATGCTAAATCTGGTAAACTTCAAGCAGACTATCACTACCGCGCATGTCATTTGTTAATTAAGTGTATATTCTTATCTTTCCAGGTATCTGTGAATAACTAAGTCGACCACAACTTCAAGATGGCGATGAACCGCGGTCCGCACGTGCGTGACCTATTCATTGGACAATCGGCTGGTGGCTTTGAGTATGAAGGAAAAGAAGGTAAAAAGAAATACAATTTGAACGCCAAAGGAAAAGGTGGAGGTTTCTCCCAACTGGGAGCCTACAAACCTAAAATACTAGCCAGTGATGGGAGTGCAAATATTCCGATTGACAACAGCACAAAGCCTGAACATAGTGATAGAGACAAAGTAGGAAAGGTGAACAAAGCTTTCATCATCGGTGACAAAGATATTCCGATGACAATTGAACCATCTGAGAACATTTATTCAGAAATACAGGAAACCTTCATTACTTCGTCTTCGGATGCTGGCGACCAGTTCAGCTCCAACCCCGTCTTCAAAGACTCTTCGACGTCAGCAACGCTACACCATGGAAACGTGTACAGAGAACAGAGGTCCCAGTCCAGACAGAGCGTTCCCGTGGAGAAGATTGGCGGCGTCGATATCCCAGCTCCTGATTACGAAGAGGAAGAAATGACTCTGGACTTTGAGGGCGATGACAAAGTACACGACAAGAGAAGAGACAGTATTTATAAGGAGTTTCCAGGGGAGGACTTCTCCCGGTACCTTTCAGACGACGAGGAGGACTATGAGTTCGATCGCCCCATGTACACAGTTAGATCCAAACCGCCAGTTTCGCGGAGGGTCCTTCAGAAGAAGGATAGCAGCAAGTCTCGGACAGAGGCGTGGAGGGGCGAGAAACCGAAGCGAGACTCAACAAAATCGTTGTTCAAACAAAATGCGAAGAACACCGGGAAGACGACCTTGAGGTATTATAGCGTTAACGATACCAAGTTGGGTATCGGGCTTGATGGCGCAGCCAGAAAACCACAGAAGAAGTCAATACGTGACGGTGTACCATATGAGTCCTCCTACGAATCCTTCTTGCAGGCGCGGAACGGCGGTCCACGATGGGGAAGTCTCGAGAGCTCGAGCAGCGACAGTGGGCACGAAACTGGAGATGACTTTAAACGTGGTCCAAAAGGTAATAATACCGGCACTTTCTGGAAAAAACTCACGATAAAGTTCAAGAAAACTGGATATAATCTTAAACACTGAAGATGTGTGTGATTCGTTGGGGTCAGGGAGTGAACCTTACAACTTGAACCTCGTCGTGACTGATTCCATACTGCACCTCTACCTCCGTGTCGTCGTGCATGTACAGCAAGGTGCACTGGAGTGGAGTGGGTGTTGTTGTTGTTGTCGCATGTACAACTGAACTGTTGACCATTCCAATATGGACAGTGGAAGTCAGTGTGCTGTACATGAGGGATCGTGTTGTAGAAACTCAGTACTACATGTGACTGCTTGAAGGAATGGCGCTAGCCGTACCTTCTGTCTCAAAAGTAAAGTTGCGATACATCAGTGCCGGGCAGATCCAATCGTTACAGCTGTTTCTACATTGATGTTGAATAACCACATTATACCACCTAGTATGTGACTGTCGTTGGATATTATGCATTTAAATCCACGCTTTTAAGTAATTACATGTTTCAATGCTGTCACGGCACAGCCTTAATCAATTTCAGCAATAGGTTGATGAGACTGCTCCCTCAGACAGCCAGATACCATGGTCACAATGAACATATAAGCAGCATTATTTCATACGTTAAAACTAGCATTCAGAATACATTGGTTCATATTTGTCATTAGCGTGCAGCCTAGCAGGGTAGGGTGGGTGGGGGTTTAATGCTTACACAAGGCAGTAGATACGCAGGCCGTCTCTACAGGTAATGTCCGAGTTATTTTTTAAAGAATGATCCAATACTTTATTTTCTGGAAATTTAATTACTACCTACAAAATCAACATGTCTGATATTCCTTGATACAATGAAAACGATGTTAACAAGTACCAGCATTTCTGTACAGCTCCTACTTGGTCGTGTGTCCTCAACCCCCGTCTTCGGCGTCATGGTATACCATGTCATGGTATAACTTGTCATATCAGTCATTGCATATGTAAATAATGTGATGCATATTCATGAAGGTCACACTAACACACACATTTGTTCATCGTGAACTTAACTCAAATACTATCAAAGCTGCCAGTGTATGATAGCGCGTGAATGCGGCGTAAAAATACTTCACTCATGACAGTCGCATAGGCGCCCATGTGTACGTCATCAGGTGTGCCGTTTGAAACTTCATGTGAAATATATATTAATTAAGGAATACAGTTCGCTCTACCACCATGTATAGTGTAATAAAGCACCCTTTCGCCCTGAACTATTATATTTAAAGTTCGAGGACGCTTGCGTCCGACTGCTTTAACGTTATAATAGTTCAGGGCGAAGGTGTGCGTTATTACACTAGACATGGTGGTAGAGCGAACTGTATTTCTTTTCTAAGATGCCAAATTTAATTCTTTCTAAGGATAATTACGATTAATTTAAGGCAGAAAACAAACGCACGGTGTCAGTGACCTAAATTAAGAATCCTCGCACAGGGCTAACTGGCGAGCTGTTCTATTGATGTGTCTGCCCCCCTACGTCAAGACCAAATGATAACAGTTTGATGACGGTTTACGTTCGGATTAAATACCTTCTCTAAATTATTTTAATTACATCTATGATTAACGTAAACCATATTGAGCAATATGAACGTCGCATTTCTACTACCAACGTAAGTTTAGATCAGTACATCCAGATGAAGCTGAGTGGTCAAGCGACATTCCACATTTCATTGTGGGAATGGAAACATTGCGAACGTTACCGTGTCGCTGAAAACTTGTGAATCGAATTGAGACATTTTAACCGTCGGAAAACATAAACGTAATGATTGCACCAGTGATGTTAGCTGCGTGAAGCAACTGCAAACCAAGAAACGGGATGCAACGGAGTAGTTTACTGTAGAAGGCTTTACGAAGCGATGACAACTGACATGCATCGTGACGTCGCTTACAATGTGACGTAACGCAAAATTATTTCGATTACGAGGGGGCAGACTAGAATGGCGCAGTGACGCCAATACATTGTGACGCAATGCAAAAAGTGCACATTATCGTCTGATTAAAGTACTGTCGGCGCCTTTGATCTTTCGCTGAAGCATCTTAGAATGAAAAATAATAACGAACGTTTCAAGAAATTATGTATAATCATGTTTGGTGCCGTGTTCAATAACATTTCTATAACAAACCGGTCAGTGTGTCCACACATGGAGGGTTCGCTACACGTCCACACTTCCATCAGATGTATGCTCAGAATCCAGACATGTCTCACACCTCATCTTACTGTTTTCTGTGCGCACACATTTTATGATGAGAAGTGATCTGAGAGAGCCAGGCATACGTTTTGCTTTTGAACGTAGTCGATTACATATGTATTGATTTATGTATTTGTTCGTTAATTAATTTTGTATGTTTGTCAGACTTGAGGGTCCTGATCAGTACTGTCAACGTAGTGCACGCCCTAGCAGCATGTGTTTAACACCTGCCCCAGGTGTTGGGTCGTGGGGGCACCAATGCCAGATGAAAGCATATCACGCCACTGGTCACCTTTCGTTTTCGGCCAACTAGTGACATCGGCACCTCCCTGGCATTTAGCAGCACGTGCTATTCCTTTTGAACACAATTCTCTTGGTAAAAACCTAGCTAAGAACGAAGTATGTAATATGTATAGTAATGTGTACTAGTGGTCAAACATTGTGTGAGGCTACAGCCACGAACACTACATTCCTACGCAAGTCATGTTGGGCTATTGTTGGGAGACATTGCATGGAGGATGTTATTATATCATTGTTATTATGTTTGTTTCTCATATTTATATGTTGTCGTGTGTGTAAATAATGTATATTGTACCATGCAATAAAAGTATCTTTTCTATCCAGCCAGTTGTATTATTCCGAATATGCTCTGTAGAACATATAATGTGGTTGTGGATGCAAGACACATAAATTCTTTACTCGCACCAATAATTTATTCTGGTATACGTTCAATTTTCAATTTCACTTTGACTTCTTTCTTTGGCTTGGTGAGGTTCAGAAAACTACAAAGCAGAAATGCAGACTTGCTAAGTAAATTATTCCTAACACTCAATTATTCCTAACAGTCAAACTACATGACAAGTCTAAGTAAATTACTTCAAATTAACAGTTACAAGATAAATGAATAATATGTACAATTAACAAAACCTTCAAATAATATTACCTTATTATGCCTTGAAATATATTACAATAGCAAACAATGCTACTCACATTTGTGTTCATGCCAACTAAAACAGCTGAATGTCTCCAACATGGAGGCAGTGACAAGCCATGTGCTCTGATGAGGAGCAACACTCACAATAAGGGGAAGTAATCTGTTATGACAATCATGATAATACTTTTTGGAAAACTAATAACAGTTATAGCCAAGCTAGACTTTCTGAACCTCATCTGAACTAAATTTTACAATGAAAATTACTACACTATTTTAGAACTTTGTACTTTGCAACATAAAAATATAACCTTTTGACAACAAATATCTTTAGTGCATGAAATTATAAACTAATTGGAGTGAACATTTTTTCTGCATCAACACACTCGGCCTCTTAAACAACATTGTTTAACAAACTTCTCACAATGCAGAAACAATCTGAAATAACATACAGCCCATAACTTTGGCCACATATTCATACACAATGTCAATTTTCACAAAATTTCACACATCATCATATTTTTCACTCGTCTTTGGAAGTAATAGTACTAGTTTGTGTACAGGTCTGCGCAGTTCTGTACTTTGAGTTTTCAGTATCACACTTCTCACAAAGCCCTGTTTGTCTGGCTCAACTTTGATCACTCGTTCCATGGGCCAGCATGATCTGTGTGCATTTTCATCCTTGATGAGTACAATGTCATCTATTTCAATGTTGCGTTTTGGTGTACTCCATTTTTGTCTCTCTTGTAGGGAATACAGGTATTCTTTCCTCCACCTTGTCCAAAAATACATTTGCGAGATACTGAATCCTTCTCCATCTCCGACGCATGTAGACATCATCACGTTGAAATTTACCTTGTGGAGCGATGAAAACGTTGGATTTTTCATGAGCAAATGGTTTGGCGTTAGGGGAGTTCAGGTCAGTGGCGTCACTGGAAACTGTGGTGAGTGGACGGGGAGTTGACGATGGCTTCTACTTCACATAGCAGGGTGCGGTATGCTTAAGTCATCAAACGGTCTCCGAACTCATACAGCATGGGAGATAGAATCTTTAAGTACAGAACCTATCATGCGTTCCCATACCCCACCCATGTGACTGGCTGATGGCGGGTTAAACTTCCAGTCGATGTTGGCTTGCAGTAGGTGAGAGTGGATGCTGTTTTGATCAAGTTCTGCTAGTGCTTCTTTCAATTCTCTGGCAGCTCCAATGAAGTTGGTGCCATTGTCACACCATATTTCTTTGACAGGTCCGCGCCGTCGGCTATAAAAGCGCGCAAGGCATGTATGAATGAGTCTGTGTCCAAAGAGAGTTGGCCGTTTCGATGTGTATGGCTCTACTGCGCTAAACATGTGAACAGTGCTCCATAGCGTTTCATCTGTTTCCTACCTTCTTTGATGGTATCGCGGGCCAAAGAAATCTACACCTGAGTATGTAAATGGTGCGCTGGATTCACTCTGCTGAATGGTAGGTCGGACATCTTCTGTTCACATGGAGGCATTTTCAGTCTTCGACAGGTGACACAATGGGACAGTATGTTTCTCACGGTTAGCGTTAAGCTCTGATGACCCAATACTTTTCCTCGTAGCTTCGAAAGTACATGATTTCGTCCCACATGGCCAAGCTTCTTGTGTATGTCTTGTATGATCAGGCTTGTGACATGATGTTTGCTGGGTAGAAGAATCTGGTGCTTCATTTCATCTGGGATCTGAGACTTGCTGAGTCTGCCACCTACTTTGAGAATTCCATTGTTGATGAATGGATCCAGCTTGTAGACCGAGCTGTGCTTGGGTACTCGGCCTCGTTCAACTGCTGTAAGTACATGGATTTCCTTGTCGAAACTCTTGGACTGCACAAACTTCATGATGATATTCTCTGCACATTCAAGTTTCTCAACTGTGAAAAGCGGTTTATTGTTATATACCCCGATTCAACTTTACCTTTTCTTTTCCTGATACGAGCTTTGATGTTGTTGATGAGTTGGAGATATATGACTACGCCCGCTTAAGGCGATACCAACTTGAATAATGTTTAATCAAAGTGTCAAGCCCTTCACATTGCATCTTGGTTGGTGATACACACGTAGTTGCAACTGTTTCCTCTACAACAGATTCTGCCGGTCCGGGTTGCTTCAGATTCCATTCTGATTCAGATCTCCAGAGGAATTGTGGTCCTTCAAACCAGTCTGATTGCGCCAGTAGTTGTGCTGTGCTAGCTCCTCTGGATGCTATATCCGCTGGGTTCTCATCAGATTCTACATACTTCCAATCTTTTGGCCCAGAGTAGTCCCTTATCAATCTCACACGATTAGCAACAAATACTGGGTATCTCTTCTTCTCACTGTTGATATAATGGAGGACAGTCGTTGAGTCTGTGAAGTAGAGTCACGCTATCAATATCTGTATCAAGTTCTTTCAGCATAAGTTGAGCTATTTGAACTGCGACTGTAGCGGCGAATCAACTCGAGGCGTGGAATACTCACAGGTTTCACAGGAGTCAGTCTTGATTTCCCCATTAGAAAAGCAACATGGACATTTTGCTCAGCATCAGAAAAGCCGAAGATAAGCTACACAGCCGTACCCTACCGAGCTGGCATCAGAGAACACATGAACCTGTTTAGATACAACTTTACCGAACTCAGCAGGCTTCAGGCATCGTTCAGTCTTCAGAGTTTCAAGTATCTTGAGCTCCTTCAACCACTTTTTCCATGAGACTTCATACTTTCCTGGTATATCATCATCCCAGTCCAGATCATTGTTGGCACACAATTCTTGAAGTATCCGGCTTAAGCGGGAAGAATGATAGGTGTAACGATACCGAGGGGATCATACAGAGATGAAACCGTGGATAGTAGACCCACGACGGCGATGTGACTGGTTTCTCAATGAAGTCGGTGGAAAATCCAAATGTGTCTGTATTTACATACCATTTCATACCAAGAGCACGTTCAATTGGCAGTTCATCATAATCCAGGTCACGGGTTTGAATCTCTTTGGAATGATCACCAACTGGGATTGACTTCAAAACGTTTCTGCTATTTGAAGTGAATTTGGTTAATTTGAAACCCCCATCTGCACATGCGGCTCTCACGTCATAGA